AACGTGTGCTAAGGTTTGTATGACCTACCTTGTGTTTGGTGTTCTTATATTAGTTTTCAGTTTTCAGTTCTTAAGGGAACATTTTTCTGTGTTCTGGATATCATGCATTGTTTACATTACTTGCAATCTTATTTCAGTTAACAAAATCAAAGCATTATTGTGGCATATGCAAGAAGATTTGGAATCATTCAGACAGTGGAAGTTGGGTGAGGAATCCTACAAGACATGTTTCAGTTATGAATTTATGATTATAATTCCTATTTGTAGATAACTGCAGTTACTTATGAAATTATTGTTATATGTTTCCTTTGTGAGTAGGTTCGCTGTGATGGTTGTAAAGTGTGGGTGCATGCAGAATGTGACAAAATTTCCAGCAACCTTTTTAAGGTCTGTCTATTAGACTAAATATCTAACATTGTTGTTTTCCTCCTTCATAATGAGTGCGAAGAGATTATAAACTTCCCTTACTATGTTATTTCCTTTTTGAAGAATTTGGGAGGCACTGAGTACTACTGCCCTACTTGCAAAGTGAAATTTAATTTTGAATTATCAGATTCTGAAAAAGGGCAACCAAAAGTAAAGTAAGTCTAATTGAATTTTCATTTTATAAATACATTGGGTTTATTTTTTCACTAATGATTATAGAGTTTCTGATGCAGATTGAGTAAAAATAATGGTCAGTTGGTGCTGCCTAACAAGGTTACTGTTCTCTGCAATGGCGTGGAAGGCATTTATTTTCCAAGTCTTCACTCGTAAGCATAAGATTGAATTTTTTCCTTTTTGGTTAGAAATTAAATTTGGAATTAGTCTTGGTGGTTGAATTCTTAATACTTTTTTCACTTTAATAAGGAAGTCAATTTCATAATTACTTTGGTTTGACATCTGAAAATATTTTATTCATATATACATTTACTTTTTTATGTTTCAGAGTCGTGTGCAAGTGTGGTTTTTGTGGGGCAGAAAAACAAGCACTTAGTGAATGGGAGCGACATACAGGATCCAAATCAAGAAATTGGAGGACTAGTGTCAAAGTGAAAGGTTCTTTACTGCCACTGGAACAATGGGTTTGTACTATACTTTCAGATTTCTTTGTTTTCCCCCCATTCAACAGTATGTCTATGCCCTCTCCATTTGGGAATTTGGGACATAATCTTATGGCAATCTCATTTGACTTTGCAGATGCTGCAGTTAGCAGAGTATCATGAAAATGCTATTGTGTCTTCCAAACCTCCTAAACGGCCTTCTATTAAAGAAAGAAGGCAGAAATTGCTTACTTTTTTGCAAGGTATATTTGTTTTAATATTTTGGGGAATTTAATTTTTCAGTGCAATAGCCACATGAGCTGATGTACACCAACCGTATTCTTCCAATTGCTTTGACAGAAAAGTATGAACCTGTTCATGTCAAGTGGACAACAGAACGATGCGCTGTATGTAGATGGGTTGAAGATTGGGACTACAATAAAATCATCATCTGCAACAGGTATCATCAATAAGGTTCATTTTTGGAGTATTCATTGTCAAATGATGACTCAGGACCAACTGTTGGATGGAACTTAGAGACTTAATAAGTTCTAAAGGCATGAAAATCAGTTGAGTGCTTAATGTTTCTTTTCAATCAGATGTCAAATAGCCGTTCATCAAGAATGCTATGGAGCAAGAAATGTTCGGGATTTCACTTCGTGGGTCTGCAAAGCTTGTGAAACACCTGCAGTCAAGCGAGAATGTTGCCTCTGTCCCGTTAAAGGCAAGTTTTTAGATGGCGTGGATTTGTTGAGTCATGCGGCATCATGTCATGAAGTATCATTTTACTGTCATGATCTTATATCTTTGATCTGATCTTTTGCTTATGCACTTTTTCCCCCAGGAGGTGCTTTAAAGCCAACTGATATTGAGACATTGTGGGTTCATGTTACATGTGCATGGTTCAGACCCGAAGTCTCTTTTGCTAGTGATGAAAAGATGGAGCCGGCTCTTGGGATCTTGAGTATTCCGTCAAATTCTTTTGTGAAGGTACTCTTTGTTCTTGTATTTTTTTTTTTGGGCTGATTCCAATCTGAACTCATTCATTAGAATGTTTATATACGTCTAATCATATAATCGAATTTTTTGGAAAATCCTTGAAGACTTCTATATTTAATTCTCACAAACATGGTATGTTAACAAATGACACCTAACCCTTCACATCCACAATTAGTTTCATTGATACAATATAACAAAATTTCACATATGTTTAAACCACAAAAAATGGACAGTGAGTTATGTGATAACTAGTTTGACATAGTGGATCTAGAAATGATCCAGAATGTACCATGTCAATGATTGTGAGTCTAGTTTTTCTATTCTTTTCATTTTGATCTTATTGACTCCACCCTGAATTATTTAACTGATGCAATCTAAGGATTATTTGTTCTCATTTGCTTCAGATTTGTGTTATCTGTAAGCAAATTCATGGTTCATGCACGCAATGTTGCAAGTGTTCCACTTATTACCATGCAATGTGTGCATCAAGGGCAGGGTATCGCATGGAGGTGAGTTTATTGCTCTTTGTTTGTTTTCATTATATTCGAATTTATTATTTTGTGCTGGCTTCTGGTTTCTGAAGTCGTAGCATCTTAAGGTGATACATGAATCAGATTACTTATCTTTCTGGTGATACGTGATGCATTTGTCTGTGCATTCTTAATATGCAGTTGCACTGTTTGGAGAAAAATGGAAAACAGATCACAAAGATGATCTCTTATTGTGCTTATCACAGGTGTGGATTCTTTTCTTTTTTCTTCAATTTAAGTTTCCCTTCCTCCCTTTTGTCTCTCATACTGGCTTCTGTTCTATTGCCTCTAATTGTTGTCTTTCTTGGACATATGTAAGTTTGTCCTAACTTTTGTCCTTCACAAGCTTACAGTTTCATTTCTGGTGCAGGGCTCCAAATCCAGATACTGTCTTAATTATACAGACTCCTTTAGGGGTGTTTTCCGCCAAAAGCCTTCTCCAAAATAAGAAGAGGCCTGGTTCAAGGTTAATTTCGTCCAATAGAACAAAGCTTGAAGAGGTTTCGACAGTTGAAACTACCGAGCCTGAGCCATTATCTGCTGCAAGGTGCCGAGTATTCAAAAGATTGAAAAATAACAAGAAGGTAGTCTACTCTGATGCCTAGTTACTTACCCATACACATTATAGTGATCAGCAATTGACAGTAAACATTTAGATGCTACTTTGTAATTTGTTCCTGCTACCACTAAAATGGATGGCAAATGGATATATCATATATTGGTGGACCAGTTGGGAGGTTATTGTTATATCATTGTTGAATCAGTTAGGTCTGTAATTAGCCTGATCTTTTCTCACTATATATTTTTTTCCTGATGGCTAGAGAGTAGAAGAAGATGCTGTTGCGCACCAAGTGATGGGACATTCCCATCATCCCCTGGGAGCAATTCGAAGTTTGAATACATTCAGAGTAACCTTTTTACCTTTTCCGAATTTGATGGGATAGTATAGTCGTTTCTATCACTTTTGATGTGGGATTTAAAATAATATCAAACTGATATTCTTGTTTGTTTCTTCAATAGATAGTAGAGGAGCCTCCAACTTTTTCGTCTTTTAGAGAACGGCTGTACCATTTACAGGCAAATATCTTCCTTATTATCCCTTCAATATTCAATGATCTTAGTTGATTTTCTTACTATTTTTGGGTGTATGCATATGAGTGCAGAGAACCGAACATGATCGTGTTTGCTTTGGTAGATCTGGGATACATGGATGGGGTCTCTTTGCACGCCGAGACATTCAAGAAGGAGAAATGGTATGGAATTTGAACATTGAGCTACATGTTTTATTAAAATCATATTATGTTGTTAAGTTTATGTATATTCTTGAGAAGTTATTCCGTAATGTTGAAGCATGTGTCTGGTTCAGGTTCTTGAATACCGTGGTGAACAGGTGAGGCGCAGTGTTGCAGATCTTAGAGAGGCACGTTATAGATCAGAAGGCAAAGACTGCTATGTGAGTTGAATTCTTTTCAAGTGTTTTACACTATCACTTTCATAATTGGTTCTAGGTATCTCTGAAGTAGCGAAACAGAAAAAACAGAACCACTTCTTTTCTCAAGGCTCATGTTTACTCTGCAGCTGTTTAAGATCAGTGAAGAAGTGGTGGTGGATGCTACTGATAAAGGAAATATAGCACGCCTGATCAACCATTCAGTAAGTCATTCTGAAGAATGTTAGGGTGCTGCCTTCCTTTTCATAATTTGCTCCTCTACGGTCTGTTTCTGTCATCACTGTCACTCTCATTCCTTAGTGATGTGTTGTTGCTTATCTTTAACACAGTGCATGCCCAATTGCTATGCGAGGATCATGAGTGTGGGCGATGAGGAAAGCCGGATTGTACTTATTGCAAAGGCTGACGTAACTTCCGGTGACGAGCTAACGTATGTATCTCTCTCTCTCTCTCTCTCTCTGTGTTCCTTATGAGGAAGCTTAAGCTTAATGTGCATACATATTCCCTTGTTGACTTTGGCAGGTACGATTACTTGTTCGATCCTAACGAGCCTGATGAATTCAAAGTCCCTTGTCTATGTAAAGCTCCCAACTGCCGGAAATTTATGAATTAGTAGGATGATGATGTTGATGATGAATATATACGCAGTCTCACTCACTCACTCACTTGCACAGGCCAATTGTTTCTCCGCAAGGAACAACACTAACCCCATTCCCCTCCCCTACCCTACCCCTCTGCGGGATCTCACAGTGCATATACCAAATTTGTAATTTTGCCAAGAAAAAAAAAAAAAAAAGCAGAAAAGAAAAGGGAATAGTGTACTTTATTTTGTTTTTGTTTTTGTTTTTTGGACTCACTTTTAAGCTTTAATAAAAGCTATAGCTTTTGCCTGCTTTTTGGTTTTGGGCATTTGTGTATATTTCTGTATGTTCCCGTTTATTATTAGTGATGACAATAGGTCATTCTTTTATTATTAGTGACGTGGCACCCTCTAAACTCGAAAATGAAGATAAATATAATAATTACTCCAGTTTAAAGGGGTGTGGACACCTAATTACAATCGAATTAAATAAAAGAAAAAAAACCACAATACAATGATTTTAGTTTGAAATAATTAAGTTAGTTTAGAGTGTTTGATCATGAGAACGCGGCGTTTTCTTCCAAACCAAGTAGACAGCCATGGGGGATCACCTGAGACAACTCGGTAGCCTGCACTGGAGTACAATTGGCGAGCACCCAAATCATCCTCATAAGCCCGGAGAGCAAGATACTCGAAACCCCATTCAACTGAGAGCACATCACACCCTTTCAGCAGAACACTCCCTACTTTCTTCCTCCTGTCAATCAACTCAAATATTTATTCATCTCTTCATCATGTCAAAAAAACCAAACCAAAACCCAGTACAAAACATAAAAATGTAAATAAGACCTGAAACTCTTCAAAACAGCTATCCCAGACACGTAAAGATATTCCTCTACCTCCGACGGCAGATGCTGAAGCACATCCCGGTCTCTCGACACCGTAACATCCACTACACCCACAAGGTCTTCTTGTGAGTTGGAAGTGTCAAGTGTAGGCTCAGCAACCAAACAGGCATACCTGTGGCATTATGTCTGATCATACTAATATCATCAAAATGCAGCTCCACAAATATGCATGACCTAAATTATGAACCCATTTCCAAATGCATTGATTTGCTTACCTATTCGGAGGTGAGTTCCTAAGTTTATATACAAGCCCAGAAAGCACTTCAGCCTGTGTTTGCAGCAGCAATCAAATTAAAAACAAAACCATCATTACCATATTTATATATGATTGTTTGGAGTTTGAATTAGACAGGAATTTGAACTGAAAATAACAACAACAAGAAGGATGAAAAGCAGAACATATTAGATTATAAACCTGGAAGAATTGGAAGAAGAGATCATTGAAGAGAAACACAGGCTCATGGAATGCTTCAGCTTGAACTTGAGCTGCCCTTCTCACCTCATCTCCATTCCTAAACAAACTCCTCACCTTCCAACCAAACTCACTCACCAAATACTTAAACTCTCCCTTTCTATCAATACCAAATTTCCCACTCCCCACAAACCCAACTTCCTCAGCAGCTGATGAGCTTGATGAACTGGTACTGCAGCAATGCACCACACAACAACTAGCCTTACTTTCTGATCTCTCAAACTGCCCCTCAAAATGAATCATTTTCAATTTAGTCCTCCTTGCTGGTCTAGAAAGAGTAGCAGTAAATCCACATGAAATCTCTGCGCAGAGTTTTCCTGATATGTTGGGGTAGCTTGCTGCTATCAAATGAGCCATATTTGCTTTGCTGTTGATTGCTGCTTTTAATGACTTACATCTTTAAATCTGTTTTTCTTTAAAGTCCATGCCATTCATTCAATTTTACATTTTCTGCTCTTTGTTTAGTTTATAATGGGAGGGACTGTGAGGGTGACAAAACATTGTAAAAGCAAAAAGATAAGAAGATGTAGGCACGAGTGGTCCTTACTTCTTGCTTGGTTTAGGCCAGAAATAAAGATCCCACGTGGCAGAACTTGGGCCGACCACGTGGACTTGTAAAATAATAGGAACTACCACTTATAGCAGACTTCACTTCACTACCAGTCACATTAACATGTCGGATTTTCCTGTTTTTGATTTGTTGGTTACCAACTTACCATACATACTACTTGCTTGGGTTGGGAGTTGGGAGTTGGGAGTTGGGACTGCACATAAAGTGCTCTCTCTCCGAATTTTTTTACGTTTATTTCAAGCACAGTTTTTAAAGTTCAAAGCTTTTCTGTTTTTCTTTGTGACTGAATTAAATTTCAGCCATTAGACTACCAGAAATTAGAAAACTGATATTGTGATTTTCAACATTGGGTTGACACATAACAAACATCTTAACGTATCATAAATACATAAAAGTTAGATATTAAATGAAAGCTCAATAAGATAGAAATTTACAAACAAAACGAAAGATTTAAAGTTAGAGCCTTTAAAAAGCCTTTCATCTTCTATCTTCCATGCGTGCAGCTTGTTCATGTTTGCTGCCACTTTCACTAGGGCTTGGACTTGAATAGTTAGACCCATTGGTCATACTACTTCCCCCACTATTATTCCCATCTCTCCTTTCTTCAATTATCTCTGCTCTCCGTTAACCCGAAACGACCAAACTTGAACAAGATCTTTTTTTTTTTTAAGATGGTTTTTCTTAGCAACATCACCCCACTGAGTTCTCAACACATACATTATGCTGTGGTTTTTCCCATTCTTCTTTTTCATGTCCCACCGCCTCAAGTTTACATCTCCTTGTACAAGACCAGGGTCTATCAGTTGAACATTCATTGTCTCCTCTTTCTCAAGCCTACCTCTCTCATCCTCTTCCAAGAAATCAGTCGACGTGATTTCGTTCAGAGGCATTGACATCCTGTTACCACTCGTTTCTAGATCAGTTTTGGTCAGTTCCTTCTCTATCACCAAAGCCATTGTCAATTTTTCTCTTGAATGCTTCAGGCAAGTCATGATGAGCTGATGAGGAAAGACTACTTGGTTCTTTCCTCTTCGGAGTGATCTTGTTGACTGAGCCGTTGCCTTTATTGACATTTTTCTTCTTCAACCTCATCATCATCTTCTGCTTCTTGCATTCCGCAAGCGCCCAATCAGTACCACCATCATCATCTATGCTCTGAAATTGCAGAGTGCATAAGCTTTGGTCCATCAGATGACCTTTGTTTCTTCGGCTCTGTTAGTGCAGGCTTCTTGCGAAGAATATATCATTTGCATTAACTGGTCTGACATTCAGGCCCAGGCCCGGTTTCTGTACAAAACATTCTGGCAGTTGGGCTTGCTGAGTGTCCAAAGACACCTCATCTATGCAAGTTTCTTAATCAAATTGGGGATATAGGATTAAACCATTTTTTTATTTTAAGTAAACAATGTTACCTCGTATATTAGATTTTTTTTTTATTTTAAAAATCCACCTCATCTAAAATTGATTATTTCCAATGGGTTAGTCAATCGAATTAATCTTTTTTTCTTCTTTTAAGGGTAAATTTTTCTGTTTTTCTCTAATTCTCCTTTGACAATCTGCATGTATAAAATAGAATATAAGTGATTTAAGGTTAGGAAGCATTCATCATAGAGCGATCCTTAACCTGAAATAATCAATTTTTGCCTAGTCTTTCAACAATTTTGAAAGGAATTTAATTGAAAGAAAAATCTATCATCCATCCAAACGGACGGGGTAAATCCGTGCGAGAAACTACTTTAATGCTAAACCAAAAAAATAAAAAACAAAAAACAAAAATCCTAACCCACAAAGCATTTGTGTATATATTCAATGAGATAACAGAAGAAAAATAAAACAAGAATTAAATCTTAGATAATATGCGGATTGAGAAAAAGACTGGTTTTATCCTATTGTTCGAAACACAGAGAAACTAGCAAATAAAACAAAACTCAAGACTAGATCTTTTTTCTTTCTTTTTTTTGGGAACATTGGGAATTAGTTACTGATCCCAGTCCCAGTTTCCTATCCGCATGCAGCCATCTCATAACTAAACACTTAAAAAGCATATTGATGTGAATTAATTATTGCTAAGAAACACAAACTTGGCAAGTATGGTATGAGCATGGGTGGAAGAAGATAGGATAAGCACGTAGGGAAGCAGAGAAAAAGCATACCATGCCAGAATTTCAGGTAGCAAATTAGTGGTTTTGAAGAAAATGGTGATAATGCAGGACAATAAAAAACAAGAAACGACAAACAGTAAAGGAAGTTAACGCAACAAAGAAAGCCAAGGCAAGGGCTGGAAGAAAAACAAACATTATGGACCAAGCTCGAGGGGCAGAAAAAACCATATTTTGATTTTATTTCCTTGCTGAAACGAGAAGCCACAGAAAATAGCATGAGCATAATGAACTTAAAGGCAGTAAAAGTAAGAAACCAAAAAGGAAACATGGATATAGAAAGAAATTGTCTCAATGTGTACTTTCAGGAGAATGATGTATCCGACTTAAAATTACCGAATCAGACTCATTAGACCCAGACATCAAAGCCTCACAAGCCTTAGCCTTTGGGGATCCCTCTGGTATTACTAAAGGACCAGTTATTGTATCAGCCGCACCTTCCTTTGGGTAATGTATAGAGTTATCATCTTCAGTCTTGCTAATAACATTCAAGTCGTTACCAGCAGCAGGTAAAGTGGAGGTAGCAAGAGCCGAGTTATCAATCGATGAGAAACCATTTGCATCCCCCAGCTCTAATTTAACCAGCTCAGAGGAGTAATCCATTTCCGCCCCATTTAAAAGTGTTTGAGGCTCTCCTGCATTGCTTCCACTATAATCTTCAACTCGCATTTCCAACTTAGGAGAAACCAGGCAGATATCGTTCTGCACCTCAGGACTGGGTGTTGACACCGGCACCTCCGGTTTTTCCTCAGCACTATCGGTTGAAGCAGTGACAACATTCTTCTCACCTAAACTTGACAGTGGAGCATCTGTCATTTTGGAATCATAAGTAGGGACTAACTCCTCTACTTTCTCCACATCACAGGGGACTTTTGCTTCCATATTCTCCTGATTAGATCCTAATATAATATCCAGTGTTCCACCAGCGATAAATGGCAAGCCTCTTATTTTCATCCTCTGCTTCTTGTAAAGATTCATAGCCTTCTGCGAGTCAGAAAACAATATGTCAAACCAACTAGGATGCAGAACTACCAACCCCCCACCTCTAATTTAACCAGCTCAGAGGAGTAATCCATTTCCGCCCCATTTAAAAGTGTTTGAGGCTCTCCTGCATTGCTTCCACTATAATCTTCAACTCGCATTTCCAACTTAGGAGAAACCAGGCAGATATCGTTCTGCACCTCAGGACTGGGTGTTGACACCGGCACCTCCGGTTTTTCCTCAGCACTATCGGTTGAAGCAGTGACAACATTCTTCTCACCTAAACTTGACAGTGGAGCATCTGTCATTTTGGAATCATAAGTAGGGACTAACTCCTCTACTTTCTCCACATCACAGGGGACTTTTGCTTCCATATTCTCCTGATTAGATCCTAATATAATATCCAGTGTTCCACCAGCGATAAATGGCAAGCCTCTTATTTTCATCCTCTGCTTCTTGTAAAGATTCATAGCCTTCTGCGAGTCAGAAAACAATATGTCAAACCAACTAGGATGCAGAACTACCAACTAGAATCAGGGTAGTATTTGATGGCCAATTCAAATTGAAGCAATAAAAGAAGACAAAGTAAAGCGTCAAAGTAAAACCAAAAATTAGAAACAGTAGTAAACATTTGGTAATCCATGGGACTTTTGCTTCCATATTCTCCTGATTAGATCCTAATATAATATCCAGTGTTCCACCAGCGATAAATGGCAAGCCTCTTATTTTCATCCTCTGCTTCTTGTAAAGATTCATAGCCTTCTGCGAGTCAGAAAACAATATGTCAAACCAACTAGGATGCAGAACTACCAACTAGAATCAGGGTAGTATTTGATGGCCAATTCAAATTGAAGCAATAAAAGAAGACAAAGTAAAGCATCAAAGTAAAACCAAAAATTAGAAACAGTAGTAAACATTTGGTAATCCAGAGTAACTTAAAAGAGAACTAAACAACCAACCAATAATCAAGATACATTAGAAAAACTGCTCTCAACTTGGTTTGAAAACATACCAGGAAATATAACAAGTGAACCAATACATACAAAAAGGACGAGAATAATAACAACTTGGTATGATAATAATTCCAACCAAATAATAAAGCACGAGAATTATTGAAGTATTTTCTCTATCCCATGCATAAATTCAATATCCTGATTTTCCAAGCAACAGAGAGGAGAGATTCCAGTTTGTTTTTTTCAAAGAAAAAATCAAAATCAGTATTTTCATACCCACTACTTGCAGCCTCAGGTAATTACAAACAATACAAATGAACAGATAATGTATATGAACAAGATATCAATATAGAAAGAAGTGTGTAACATTATCATTCATCATAAAGTATACCTGAAAGACAGAATCCTTCAAAGGAGGAAAAAGTGAGGAAGTCGAAAAGGTTTTGGATGATCCCAAACCAGCCCTTGCACCCTGTATGACATTAGGAGAGAAGATGCAAAGATACAATAGCATTCAGTAAGACTAGATTCTATAAGGAAAAACAAATAGAACAAATTTTTGCAAAGAATCTGCACCTTCAAAATTGTAAGTGTTGTAGCATCTTCATCAACGGTGGAACTCCCATCAGTATCCAGTATGCTCATACACTGGCTATACAACTCAGGATGAGCAAGGTCTGCTGAAATGTCAAGCTTGGAGAGATAATAATGACTTAAACAAGGGAAATCATCGCTGGGCGATTTAGAGCGAACAGGTGACTTCTCATGACCAAGTTTAGACATAGACTCCTTTGGAGGAGAAGTTACAATGGACCTTGTTTCAACAGTTTTAGCAAGAACTCCATGATCCAGGTTATCTTCATGATGAGATATCTGACCTGCCTGCCCAGCCACAGCATCATCCACAAGGGCCTGCATGGGATAATCATCCTTCTGAGCTGGGGAGGGCAAGTCCCTTTTCACATCATTGTTATGTACTTTCCATGTATCAGCACTGGATTCCCATCCACGAGCATTCATTGGATGCCTGTTCTGATCCCATTCGGCACCCCCATACATGTGAGTCTCATCCCTAAAGGCACCATTACTCCCATCCCATAGATGCAAGTGAGAAGGACCTGAACCATCCATCATATTCTGCCACCCGAGTGGGCGCAAATGACTGGAAAATCTATCAGCATCAGAAATATGATAAGGAATCCCAGAGTGGTTAATTTCCATTGAAGGTCTAACACCAAAAATTGGTGGAGCTGGAAACTGAGGTAGCATCCCTTGAAAGCCACCATGAGGTGCTCCATGCTGAAAATGCATGAAGCCATTTGGGAGTGGTGCCGTCCAGTTTGGGACACCCCTCCATGCATTACCATGCCCTCGAACCAAATTGGGATCACTACTCCTTCTATAACGTGCATTGGAATTAACTCTACCATCTTCTTCCAATGAACCAACAAAAGAAGGGCTGTCAACTCCGGCCCTGAAATTGGGATGAGGAAACAAAGATAAATTACTCTGACTACTCCTATTGTGAGCTGATGAATCAGCTGGTGATGAGTCATCCACCAAAGGCTTCTCTGATGGCAACTCCCGACTAAGTCTATCCTCAGTATTAGAGAAATCTCTATTATCAATGGAAGCACTGCTTCTCCGACCTGTTTCTTCAATGTCAAGACTCCGTCTGACACCAGTTCTGTTCGTATACCTACGGTCAATATTTGATGATGAAGGAGATCTTTCCATCAAGGCCAGAGGTGAAGCCTTAGAACTTGCACACTTTTCATTTGACAGCTCCCCTAAATGGCCATCATCCATTTTAATGGGTTTTTCCATGGATCTGTACTTGGAACCTCTTTCTGAAACTCCAGAGAGACCAGATCCATCTCTGGGAGGAATTGCTTTGGTCCTCTGCTCTGCCACAGAATCCCTATACTTCAAATCATCTGGATTCAGATACCTTGTAACAGAAGAAAAATTATGGTAAATTACTATATAACACAAAAATGCCTCCAAAAATAAAATGGTTAAAACACAACCACAAATTCCCTTTACAACATTGAAAATCTTTACACATGGATTCTTTCATACTGTTATGAGTTATAATAGACAAAATTATTCGTCTTCACAACTGCTCTGCATGGATATCATAAATTCTAAATGTAAACCAAATTAAAGCTTACAATATTAAAACAAGTCACGTCTTTTCACCGATAGAAACATGCCAAAAAAGAAAACAACATTAACAGAAGATGAACAAATCTGCAAATGCGTGATAATAAAATGAATCCGAGATATGCCAACTCTAATCACATTTTCCCAATTACGTAAGGAATGTGAGAGAGAGAGAGAGAGAGAGAACTACCTGTACTCATCCATGCCAACATGTGAATTAGAACTGGGGGAGGTCCTCCGCTTATTGCTGCTCAATATAGTGTCTGCATAAGCTTGCCTCGACTGAGATCTTCCCTTATTAACATCTGACTCAACTCTATCACCGCTTGATGACTTCTTTTCCAAGTCAGAGTACCGAGCTTTGATTCCTCTAGACTTAGTATCACTACAATCATCACGATCATCCGGGGATCTTTTCTTTCCCCTGCTGCTATCTCTGTATCTCGTGCTGCGATCATCAAGATGTGACCCATCGTAGTCCCGGTCATAATCGCGGTCGCGATCTCGATCGCCATCTCTGTCACGTTCACGGCCACGATCACGATCACGGTCATGATTGCGATCTCGCTCACGGTCCCCATCCCGCTCACGATCCCGATCCCAATCCCAATCCCGATCGTAATCACGGTCACGGTCACGGTCACGACCATGATCCCACCCATGTTCACGTTCACGATCATGGTAGCGGTCACGATCGCGGGCATGATATGAGTCACGGTCCCTGTTGCGATCGCGATCGCGGTCATGCTCTCCTTTGCGCTCACCATCCTGAAGCTTGGATCTCTTCGGTTGCGTTTCTGTCATATCTTTTTCTTCCCTTAAATGCTTATCATCAGACTTGCTGCTAGGTTGATCTTTTGTAGGGCGTTCATCTCTTTGCTTGTCATCTCGGTGCTTATTGTCCCTATCCATATCTTCCCGATATTTTTCTCTGTATCTCTCATCCTTCCGCTTCTCATCTTTCTGCCTGCCATCCCTGCCAAAATCATCCCTAGAAGATAATCGACCATCATTGATGTCTTCAACATCATCTAGATGCTTATCCCCATCACCAAATTCATCTCTCCTTTTCCTCATCCGTCTCTCCATCTGGTTCTCTGACTCGGGACTTTCCAACTCATTCCGTGCATTTAAATCTGCAACACCACAAAGATTAAGACATAAAATGGTGTTCCAAAATAAAGTTGAATTCACAAAACCTAATTCTAATAACAGATTCATGTACAGATTGTCAACCCATAAATACTAAAATATAGGATAATGTGGAAAAAGGTATAACATGGAACCCTCTCTTCCTAAACAATATGATCTGACCTCTTTACCTCTTCATTTAACAGCAGTATGTTTAACCAGAAATTAACACCACTAATTGGTGCTTCATAAAAATAGTTCCATTTCCAAAAAAAAAAATTAAATGTTCACTAAAAATGAATCAGTTAAGGGCAAAAATTAATGTTAACACGACTGACTGAATAAACCCTTGCACACATATAACAGTCTCTTGGCTTCATTAAGTTCCTGGACCCATTCAAGTCATCAAAATGAGGGTTTATCGCCCGAAATTTTGAAAGGAAAAAGGGGTTATAAATCAATGAACAGACAGGCAATGCAGTGAAGAGTTGGAATCCACATCGTCAAAGTAAACGAGGAAAACCTAGTTACAACATCTCAAAACAAATAACACAAAAGAGGGGGAAAAGAGAAGTTAAGAAACTAAATCAATACACCTTGTTAAGGAAAGATATTGAAATTACAGATAAAGGAAATATGATACCTCAGATAGACAAGTAATACAATTATAACTCATAAACATCTGAATAAAAGAAACAGAAACCACGACTCAAATCAATTTTTTCCATCTTCATGAGAGCAAGCAACCATTTAAATAATCAACAAGAAACCAATAGCATGTTTTCCTTAATTTTCACTCCAAAGTCATTGGAAATTAAGGAAAACAGCTAAACCTCCAAATTGCTCAACAGTATGTATCAATCCCACCTTAACTCAAAGAATGTTGAAAAGTAATAGCAGACAGGTTAGTTTTACAGACTCAATTTGGACGCCCACTGCACTATCCCATGCAACCATCCATATCTTAGAAATGAGAGTTAACAAATCAAATACAATTATTTTCCAAATCTAGAGCTCAGACAGCCACGTCAAGTAGACCAATGAGTATTTGCCAAGTCATGTGTTAGATAACCACACTCAACCTCAAGCAACGTGGGTCAATCCAACATGTCACCTCATTGTTAGTTTCCGAAGAAATAAATATTAATTGAATTGTCTCCACTGTAATTTGGCAAGTACAAAAATAAATCTGAGCACAACAGTCAAGGACAAAATTTCCATAGAAAGCCTATGGTATTTAAGTGACTAATAAATTAATAATG